CAAAAACCCTATCCTTAATCTAAGCAATTTCTCAAGCATTCAACAAACCCAAAGCAATTACATTTCAATATCATCATCAACCACACATAAACATCTTAATTCGAAGATTAATTGATCATAAATCTTACCTTTACACTATGCTCTTCAAATCCTAAATGAATCCTACCTTTCCAAGCTCTAAGCTAGACAAACTCCACTTCAATCTTTTAATTTATGGTTCTTCTAAGCTAATTTAACAATGAATTAGCTTAGGAATTGAAGTGAGAATTTGGAGGGAATTTTGGAAGAAAAATGCATGAGAGAAAGAGAGAAAGGAGAAGAAAATTCGAAAATAGGACAACCGTTGCCCTTTTTATACCAACGCCCTCCCCTCTTTTTTTTTTTTTTCCAGGTTATTACAATATATAAATATATATTACTTTTATTGTTTAAAATTAATCTTTTTGATTTATCGTTGCTTCTAAAAATTCTCATCAAGTTAATTTTTTATTATTTTTTATATAATTTTATTTATTAACAAATATAATTTATTTTCTCTATGTATGGATTCAAATGATTTTTTTTAATAGTTGCTTTCATTTGTTTAATTCTTATATAATCAAATTTTAAAAATGGAATTCACGTATTTTATTTTTTTATTCTTTATGTAATCAAATTTTATTGAATCAATTTTATAATTTTTTTATTATACACTTTAATATATTTTTTACAATTTTAATTTTTTTAAAAAATATTTTTTAATTTATGCTACACATTCTCACTCATTGAGTACGATCATGATGTATAAAAATAATAATATTAGAGTCATTGATTTTTACCGAAAATCGACTATGCACACACAACACCAATCATTAGTAAAAAAAAAGTCGTTTCTTAATTTTCATACAGACTTTTTATATCGATTATTGTTTTATTTCTTTGATGTAATATTGTGAAAAAAATATTAAATTTTTTTTTAAATTTTATATTAAATTCAATTTATTACAAGATTTTTTTTAAGGAATTCAAAATTTATTCAAAATATGAAAAAAAATATATATATATAAAATTTTGATTAAAAATCATAAAATTAGATAAAATTTTATCTTTTATATTTAATTTAATATATTTTAATTAATCAATATATTATTAAATTAAAATAAATATATTTAATTCTACTTACAAGAGTGCATTGGATAATCCTACAAGTATACACTCCATGCACTCAATCATGTGATTAGCACCAAAAACTATGGGAAGCATATTTCAAGCAAAAGTGTGGTTAAACCATGCATATATTTTAATTTTCAATGCATTGATTAAATTCCTTACTCGAAGATACGTTATTGTCTAATTATGATCCTATAATCACATCATTTACCCACTGAAGGTTCCTAACCCAGTTCATTAAAACAGATTTTTCTTTCCGGGAAAAAGTAAGACGAATCATAATTACTCGTCAAATTGGTTAAGAAAGAAATTATTTATTTAATCTTGTGAGTGAAAGGTAATTGATGCCCACTAACACTAGCTAGCATTTTCAAAGCCACATGTTGAACTAGGAAAGGTTTTGGACGTACGTTGGTTGCCAACTAATTAAAACCAACCTTCACCACCTACAGCTCGAAGACAAGCATCAAGGACTCTCACTTGTATTTACCTTGCTAAAGCTGCCATTGATGAGAATTGAAATAAAACAGGGAAGGAAGGAATTAGTAGCTTTTATTTTATTTTTTTCATCTTCTTGATTATTCACTTCTACCTTGGCATTCAAGCCATCCTTCTCCATGACGTTTCCATCAATGAGTCATGAGAGGAGATCAAAGTCCACTTTACTTGGTAAGCTAGCCTGTCCATAATTTAGCCCAGTATTTAAGTTACATTTCTCGTATACTTCTGATCAATCGATAAGTTTTGCTACAAATAATGAATGAAGATCATGAATTATTCACGAATAGAAAGAGTCGCATTTTCTGGTCATTTATTTTACGATTCTATTTGTTAAAATTAATATATGTCATGAAGATTTTGGTGATAAATTGCTTTAACCTAATACCAAAACCAAATGTTGTCTATTTTTTTTTTAAATTAAAAAAAAAAAAAAGAAAGGAAAAGAAGGAGAGATTGTTATTTCGATTATAACATTGTGTGAATGCCTTCAGGCATGTAAAGCAGACGCAAGTATGGTAGTGATTAATGCAAAACGATTAGATTAAGACCAGTCTTATTTAATGAAGAAATTGGGCTACTTGTCGTCAAGTTTGTTAGTGTCATTCTAGCCAACTTAAGGTGGGATTTTAGATGAAAATTCCAAACTCGACTTACAAGGAACAAAACAATCACCCGAAATATATCTCAACTTCAGCTCATCTATCTTTAAACTTAATTTCATCAAGGAAGATAATTAGTTAACATCTCTCAGTGCTTCACGGTTTATGACATTGACATTGAAATTTGAGGAAGGAATAGGCTAAAAGGAATAGGGAGTGACTCGGCCCACAATACTGTCGTAGTTTTAGGGCTACTGGACCAGCCACTAGGAGTTGTATAATGGGCTTGGGGCATTCCTAAAACCTAGGTTGACTTTCTGAAGGACAATGAAGTGACGTAGATCCTTACCATTTTTCAACTGAAAATACCACTCACACACCAAAATATAACTTCATTGGTTAATTCAGGGAATGCATATATATATGCCTTGTGTATATTGTCACTCGGACAGTTTTGGTGATGATGTGCTGTGTGCTATGCTGTAGACTTGTAATTGTAGTGCTGTGCTATGTTGTAAGGTAAATATAATATTTGATAATTGATTATTGTATTGTGCTGATAAATATTTAAAATAGTGTTTGATTAAATTTTAGGATATTGCTAAATCCATCAGATATTTTGTTATTCCCACCAAATTTTTTATTGTAAATTACTAACACACCACCACACTTAAAGTTAGTGACTAAATAGTGATTAGATGTAAGGCTTTGTTAGTAATTTAAAATAAAAAATTGTAGGGAATAACAAAACATATGCTAGATTTAGCAATACCCTAAATTTTATTGTTGTGTTTTTGAGATATAAAATGATAAAAAAAAAAATAACATTCAAAAAAAATATTTTATTTATATTAAATGATTTATAATTTTTTAAACTTACAAATGTGCATAATTTTTTTTTATTGTGAGAGTAATTCTTAAGTTCTAGAAACTAAAAAGAGAAAAAAATTAAATAGAATGATAATATTTATAAACACATTATTTCAATAAAATCAATAATATTGATAAAAAAAATATTTTAAATTACAATTACATAAAACACCAATGTCTTTGAAATGTATACTTTGTTTTTTAGAAAAACATTAATGGAGAAATTTTTCATTTTAATTAAAAAATAGATCCCACAATAATTAATTTTCCTTTTAAATAAAAACAAAGAGTACCTTAAGCAAAATAATTTTCTCTTAAAATAATGCCTATTTTGATTTCAAAGCAAATATTAATCAAGCACTATTTTTAGAGCAATTATGCTTTTAAAAACAAAGCAATACCAAACATTCACATTCCCAGCATCAACGCCATATTGTTGTTGGGTATTCATATATAAGCAACTTCAATTAGCTAGCGAAACGTGTAACATGAGCCGTAGAATATCAATTCTTGTTCTGCTCCGGTCGTGCGTCTGTATGGTTCTTTGTATTGGGCCTTGGCCTTTAGTTCTTTTTTATTAATGAAACCTTTCATTCTTCCATAAATAAATAAATATCCTTTAATTCAAAAAAATAATAATAATAATAATCGAATATGCAAATAAGAGGCCCGGTCCAATTTTTAAATAGAAAACACAGGCCTCAAAATAGAAGCGTTCAAAAGTCATGGATGACCTGAAGTTATCAAGTCTTGAAGCATTAAGCAGAATCCTTGAAATGGGCTGCTGCTCATGCAAAACGACCAATTTTCTGTTTGATCAATGGCTGGTGTTTGCTCTCATTTAGCTAAGATTAAATTTAGGAAGAGAAGCAACAAAACTCGATGGCATCATGAGGTGAGGTATTGGCGTACGTATTGCATTGCAATAGTAGTATGATTTAAGCAGCCGCATGTACATGATCTCCATACTTTTTGTGGCAAATCATTCATTGGCCAAGTCAGTAAAAGTGAGAATGAATGAATAATGCACATTTGGGCACTTTAAGCCAATAATGGTCACGTGTAGATTCTGTATTATAATGCGACAAAGAGCTGTTAGATTGGATAATATTGAGGTGTGGTGACTTCCACGCCAGATGCAACTGATCAGCAATCATCGTAGCCAAATACATTTCACATTTTCATCCCCATGCAAATCATCAGCACCATATATGCTATATATAAGCACTCCACAAAGTTAACCAAATGCCCAAAAATACATTGATATAGTATTTCATCTTTTCCCTCTGTCGATTTTATTCCTTCATTTGGATTCCATATTAAACAATATCAATGGTTACGTGACCGATCATGCATCATGAGGGGAATAAGATTCAACTAATTATATAGAAGTGTTGATTTGTACTTTAATAAACTAACAACAGATATAGGGAGACAATTTAGTAAGTAAGTAAGGAATCACTTAAGGGAAAAGGAGTGAAAATAAAAGAAAAAAGAGAAAGTTCCATATAAACCTGAAAAACATTGAGCACTTTTCATTTCACCCCCCAACCCACTACACAAGCTCAAAAATCTTAGGCGTGACAAGCCTAAGTGGGGTGCATTATCATGATAGAACACAAATTCTCACCCCTCTTCTTCATGCCTCCACATCATCCTCCCATCTCTAAATCCTCCATTCCCACTTTTTATCTATCTTTCTACACAAGTCAAAGCCCACAATCCCCATCAACCAATCACATCTCTCCACATCATCACCATGCATCCATTACAGCGCCCTAAAAATTTCAACTAAACCCTCCCTCCCTCTAAACCCTAACTCTCTCTCTTTTAACCGGCCCTTCCCCCAATATATCTACGTACCATGCAGCGCCACCAAAGCTATTTCCGGCGGGCCGTGAACGTTTGAAACACGATGCTTCCTGCGGCTGGAAACTCGTCTGCAGCGCAACTCCGGCATTTCAATCCAAGTGGCTCGAGAGCATGGGCGACACGTGGCCATACCTCGTGACTTGCACAAGTAGTCGACACCGAGAGGGTAGCTGGCCGGAAAACTTGGACTGCCTTCCTCAAAGACCCAATAAAATGTTCGATGTCATCATCGAAGATGGAGCCCACACACTCATAACTTGCATAGCTAAAGCCATCTTCTGGGGTGACATGAATGGTAGAGTAGCGATCATTATGAATCCCATTCATGGAGTATCCACAAGGGTCGAATGCAAAATCACAAATCATAGCCCTCGGATTGATATCACTTATGCCAGTAACTTTTGTCATTTCTTTGCCAGCTATGTCACCACTTCTGCTGCCATCACCAGGAGGTAGAAAGAATTTACGAGCTAAAGCCCGGTCAAGTTCAGTCATGCACACCTCGATAGTATAAATATCATGATCATTGGGGATTATGTGAGATTGATCACTAGCAGTGAAGACATGCCAAGAATGAGTGGTTATTTTAGAAGGCATGACAGAGGCTTTTCTGTAGCAAAGATTGGTCGGGAGGGTGTCTTCAAGGTAGAGAACTTCTTCTTTGAAGCTGGTGTGAGGGAAAGGTTGTGCTTTAGGGAAGATAAAGCTGCCTCTTGTGTACCTACAAGAGCATAAAGTGAGGCCAAGATTGCAAGCATAGTGTATTAATGGACGGATAGATTTGAGGAGCTGGGTGGTCCCACATGTCTTGATGATGATCTTGGTGGGGTACACAAAGAGGCTCGATTCTGATAACACGTAGGCATCAAAATATTGGTTAGCCACAGCCGATACCACAGTGCATTGGACAGCATTTAACACTTGTTCTAGTGACTCGAAATCGAGAAGTCTTAGGCCCAGATTATTGTCCATCATCACTGGGTCATCACCGAAGAAATGAAGCTCCAACCTCTTCTCAAACCCTTCAAATCCAGACATAGCCATTGATATTAAATATTGCAACAACCAAATCAATATAAGAAATAAGCAGAAGGAGGGAATTGATCAAAGAAAGAGGCTAGGTATAGGTATATATTGCAATAGCAAGTGTGTATTAGAGAGAAAGAGGGAGAGTTTTGGGAGGTGTGAGGGAGTACCGGTGAGAGAGAGAGGAGGGGTGAGTATGGGATTTATAGGTGGGTGAAAAGGAAATAGAGAGAGTGGGGTTAGCTAGAGGAAGATAGTGAGTGAAGGAGAGAAGGGGGCATGCGGGTGAGGCAACCAAGAATCATGATTGCAGGCATAATGAAGTGAATAAGATGATGATATGGTTTTTAAAAATATTAGTAGAAGAATGTAAGTAAAAAACCCCCAAAAAAAAAAAACGATTATTATTATTATTATTAGAAATAAATAAATTTTGCTAATAATTTGATTTTATCATCACAGCGACAAGAACAGGAGATGGGATTTTATGCCCACGCGCATGCATATTTTGATTTGCTTCTTTGTCAATTGCCACTACTCAACTCATCAGTGATCAGACTCTTGTTTCTGCCTAACTCTCTCCAGTATCAGTTCCAACCAGAGCCAGTAGCCACTATATGCGTATCTTTTCCATGGCACCACTCATTATCACGACCACACAAATTATAGCCCATCTCACAAAATCCAAACTACGAATATATTCTCAGAGTCTTTTTTCAGTTTTCCACCACAAGCAAACTTATTATTGTTATTGTTGTTATTTTTTCCAATGAACGCTACTAAAATATTGATCCAAGTTCATAGATATCGCCCAAATTGTGAAAGTATTTTCATTTCGTATTAGGCCAACTTCGTAGGGTTATTCGATTGGTTTTGTTGTGTAAATTGTTAGGGAAATGCTTATTATACTCATTCAAGGATGTTGGGGAACTCAGTGGCTGGAGGGACGACAGAAGCAGTACTTATGATCATGCAAACAATCCATTCATGTTCATGATTCCTTTCTCTAGCGAGTGGAGGGACCATTGAATAGTTTTAGTCCCACTGATTGAAATTATATAGGACTAATACAGGACCGAATAATTGAAGTCTTTTTGTTAATTTTTATAATTTTAACAGGAATTTGTAAGCATTAATTCAAATTACTGGGAAATGGGAATAGAGCATCATCAAATCAATAGGTCATGCATTCAAAAGAATTTTTGGATTAATGGGACCAGGTCAAAATTCAACATTCACGATGAAAAATCACTGTGTCTTAAGTCATTCAAGAGCAGAACACTTTCATAGAACATAACAGACATAAATAATCATAGACGGGGCTAGATGTTTTTTATATGCATGACAGCAATTATTAGCATTCTGCAGTGAAAATAAAACTTATAAGCTCTGTAGTACTACTATACTGAGCTTAAGTAATTCGTCGTTTAGGGTCAGTGTCAACTCTCAACACTCAAGTAAAGAAAGAGAACAGATCTAAAACAGAGAAAACAGAATAAAAACACAAAATAGGTGTCAAGTAATGCTTGAGGGCTGGTGTTATTTGAGCACTAGCATACTACTCCACTGCGGAATTTTGTTGATATACAGCAGCATGATATTGACATGAAAACAACCTTCCTTGCTGGCTTGTATGTAGAGACCACTCTGTCATTTTCAAAGAGAACAGGGGGTGTTAATTAACCACAAAAAAAAAAAAAAAAGGCAATAGACGTGCCCAAATATCATCAATCTTTTACGGTTAAAATAATAATTATGCACAACACAACAAGTTTGCAAAATGAAGGTAAAAAAAGAAAAAAGGAAGAAGAAGAGGAATCAGGCGTGGCAAATAAATAATGAGAATATCCTTGAATTAGGGGAGGCCCCGTACGTGAATTTGAAAAGCACTGAACTTGCATCATTTTTATTCTCCATGCAATTTCATGTAAGGCATCATTTCTCAACGCACATTCCCTTAACCTTACATACTTACACAATTCAAATTGAACGAGTTCCCTCTCACTCCCCCCTTTTTTCTTATTCGAAGAAGATGGGATATATACATGTATATATTATCAGTTTATGCATTAATAGAAACTATTTTTTTTTATTTTTTTCTCTAAATAATTTTAAAGACTCTATATTTTAGAAGAATAAATTCCTTTAAATATTCACTTTAAGATTCGAATTCAAAAAATTATAAAAGAAAGCACATTTTTTTAACCCCGGGGATCAACTCCTTAGAATTAAAGAGTCCCCCCTGTAACACTAATTTAATTACGAGTGATTAACTTTTGAGTTAGGAAAGGCAAAATCATCATCTAAATATCAAGATTTTATACAACATTTCTTTCTGGACTCTATAATCTGTTCTTTACATCCAATGATCGCACGCATACATTTGTGTGATTTAATTTTATACATTTTGGAATGGGTTTTACCTAGCATTTGCCCTTGTATTCTTCAAGTTCTTCTAATCGTGTCCCTCTATCGTTTATTTTATTTTATTTCATTGAGTCCTCCATATTATGCCATATCTGTAATGTGTGGCCACTGCATCCGAGTTGATCATTAGCCAGCAAAACTGACCAAATAATAAATTATTGACATGTCTCCATTTATAGTAAAAATTATTTTCGATTAAATAAAAGAAAAAAATTGATCATTTTTTTTATAAAATGAAATTAAAAAATTTATTTAAAACAAACTAAAAGACAAAAACCAAAACTAAAATCGTTCAAAAATTTTATTTCAGATCAATATATGACATCCATTTTATTCAATGCGCTTAACAAATATTCAAGTTATATATATATATATTTTATGTCAAGCACCGTATAAAACCACCTCTTGGATTGACAAAGTGAGCAATGGTTGATGCGTCAAAAAATATAAACTAAAAGAAATAAATTATTATTTATTATTTATTATTTATTGAAAAATAATTTTTTTAATTATAAACATAAACGTATTGATCATTTAGCGACTCAATTTTGTTAATTAGCAGTCAAATCAAATGAAAGGGATCAAATTACATACGTTTTATGATGTAAAAAAGACTCAGTTAAAAAAATTTTAAAAAAATCTCAATCAAAACAGTTAAAAAAGTTCATGATGGAAATAAAATCTTTTTTCAAATAATTGCTAATCACATGCTATCGGACTTATATCTGCTCATTGGTTTTCTGGCTTTTACTTGCATAAAACTTTGAAGCAAATGCTATTTTTTTATTAGATTGATATTAATTTTAAAATACTCTCTAACCTTGTATTTAGGATTCACTCATGGGAGTGATTTTATGTTATTCATAAAATAACTAATGTAAGTTACTCGTATAAAAGAGAGATATAGACACAAAAAAAAAATAATAATAAAACAATAAAATAGAGATTAAAAAAAAAAATTGAGCCTACGAGATGATGCATTAGATCATATCATTATAAATTTAGAATGGGGTCCAAAATAAAATGCATTTCTTTCCTTTTCATTTGGACTTTTATTAGGCATTGCGAGTCATTTTTGTCCCCATTTTAGATATGACTAGAGTTTGATTCAATACATTTGAAACAAATTACGTGATTTTGCAAATCAATTAACTATTTGGCACTCTTTAAAACCAATTTGACTTCAACATGTTAAAATACTGATTGTTAGCCCATAAGTGATGATCTTCAAGTGTGGAATGTATTTCTTTGTCAATTTAGTGACGAGTTCCTTTCCTATTGCATTTAATTCATAATTGAATGATTCATTCTTTAAAATAAAATTATTAATTGCATATGCTTAATCTTGACTATATACTTGGTTAGATTTGAGATTAAATGGAAATTTTCTTATTATTTTTTATGGATCTGAATGTAATTTTTTTTTTTTTTTCTATCTCTCTCTTAAAAAAATAAACACATAGAATAATTATTATGTATGTAGGGATGATAATGGACCAGGTATAAAACATATATATGTTTTATCCGATCTAATAAATACCCATTAAAAATATCCAATACTTATTGAAATGGATAAAGGGAAAAAAATGCATAGCCAATAATATAGTTTTAGGGTATGGATACTCACTATTTATCCTATTAATATCCACTAATTTATTTAGATTTTTTTTATTAACATGTAGGAATCTAATTGCATAAAAATTAAAAATTAAAAATCAAAATATTTTTTGGAACCTTTGAGGATCAAAAAACTTACAAATAAATGATCAAAATGTAAAAAAAAAAAAAAAGATAAATTTTAAGGATTAAAATAAATATTTTTGATAAATTAAATTTAACGAGTATTAAATAAACAAATAAACTAGCATGAACTAAATTTCAGCTAGTTAAAAATTTATAAAAATAATTTTTTAATAGATAAAGAATAAGGTAAAAAATTAAATTAATAAATTACGTATCCAGTCGTTGCCATTCCTATTTGTATGGAAGAAATAACACAACGTAAGTTTGGATTAATTAGTAATTACTTTTTGTGATTACAATGAGAAGTAAATGGGGATTTAGGAAAAAGCACATATGGAAACCGAGACGATTCTAGGATGTGCAAAAAAAAGTTGAAGTTGAAAAGATGTTGGGTTAAGAAGTGTTATTCAAAAGAAATTTGAAAGAGTCATACCAATGAATATTGTTTTCTCTTTCCTCAATGAAAAGAAAAAAACGAAAAAGAAAAGCAACATGGATTTGGAATAAGCCATTTTCTTATCCAAATAGTTTTGAAAAGTGAGATTGGGGCACAGCAATCCAGATTACAATAGAAATAATGAACCTAGCCAAAAAAAAAAAAAAAAAAAAACTTGAAGTAATTAGTGCTTGGTAGGCTTGTGATGGTTACTAATTGACTTGTGCTGCCTTCCTCATCAATTTTTAACTCTTCTTGGCTTATAATTTAAGACTTAGCATACGAAATCAATACTCCTATAATAATACATCATAATAAACTCTAGATAAGGAAGGAAGGTTCCTCTAAAACTAGTAGGAGATAGGTAGATAATTAGTAGTAGAATATATGCGGTATAGCTTGGTGGGAATGA